GAGTCGGAGGGCAGTCATCTTTTTTTTGGCAAAACTGGGGATTGAACTCATGCCCTTGCACTTGCCAGGGAAGCACTTATTCCACGGAGCCATCTCCCTGGCCACAGTCATCTTTTTTTAGCATGGAAAAAGCTATTCTAAGAAAAATATGAATCCCAAAAACAGAAAGGCATAAATATGGGTAAAATTCACCTTATAAACATTTACAATTTTCCATGAGGATAAAAGAAAAAATGCCTTGTATTGTACAAAGATATAAATACAGCAATGACAACCTAGAAAAATAGCATTTGTAATGTTTGTGATATAATAAAAATCTATTTTTGCTTTGTTGAGACAGTCTTGTCTGTAGCCTAGGCTGGCCCAGAACTCACAGCTACCCTCCTGCTGCAGCCTCCTGAGAGCTGGGAAAAAGGCCTGAGCCACCATGCCTAATGAAAAGTTTTAAAATATGGGACCGGGGAGATGGCTCAGTGGAATAAGCGCTTCCCTGGCAAGGGCAAGGGCCTGAGTTCAATCCCCGGTTCCACCAAATAAGTAAGTAAGTAAGTAAGTAAATAAATAAATAAATAAATAAATAAATAAATAAATAAAATATAAACCTCGGTGGCCTGAGGGTACAGCTCAGTGAACTTGCCTGGCATGCACAGGGTTCTGGGTTCGATTCCCCAGCACACACTTGTAAACAAAGTTTGTAGCACAGATATTCACAGTAGAGAAAGTTGTACACCACCCAGTTAAACCACACAGAACTGTAGCTTTCTTTTTGCTCACGAGGTACCAGCAGAGGTGAGTCATAGAGATAGAGTGGAGATTTCAGGTAGCTCTGCCTCAGGGGATGAGGCCCTGCAGGAGATCAGAGGAGAACAGCCTGGTGTGGGGGTGCAGGCCTGAAGTTTCCAGCGCTAGGAGGCTGAGGCAAGAAGACCCGATTGCTGTGAGCCCAGCCTGGGCTACTCAGTGAGTTCAAGACCAGACACAGTTTGAGAGAGCTGTCTCAAAAACAAAACAAAACAGTCCAAGCCCACATGCCGTACCAGACATAACAAATAATTCTGGGTTGGGCGGGGGGAGGTTGGTTTTTATTTATTTATTTTTTGGTGCATCCTAATTTTTTTCCATAATTTTATTGAGATTGGTTTTGAACTGGTGATTGAACTCAGGCCCTTGAGCTTGCCAGGGAAGCGCTTATTCCACTGAGCCATTTCCCCGGCCTGCTTGCTTGTTTGCTTTCTTTCTTTCTTTCTTTCTTTCTTTCTTTCTTTTTTTAAACTTGTCTCTTCTTTCCTTTTTCCCCCTCCCCTCATCGTTGTTCCCCTTCTCATTTATTAATTCTGGGTA